GCTCCTACATCTTCCTAGAGCAGAATGAAAACTCCTACTACAAGCTTTAACCAGTGCTCTGCTGGACACGGATAGAAGTCAAAAGACTGCTCTAACTGCTGATGAGAAAAGGTATTTAGCCGTTTATATTTACCAAAATAATTGCATTTCCATGTTGTGTGTACTGTGGGAGAACGGATATAGAGAATACAGGGTCATGGGTTTAGTAACACTTTAACTACAACAGAGTAAAAGCAAGTCTCCAACCCTCAGAGAGAGGGCTGTGAAGTGTGCAGAGATGAGTAAATCTCAGGACTGGATGGACAGAAATCAAATCCTTGGCAGAATAAACAACTCCATTGTATGCATTGAACCTGTATATTCAGTTTGTCTGGAGTTCAGCTTTCAACTGTATTTAAAGCCAAAACTAAGGAAGGGCTAAAGTTTTCCTTTACTTCCTGTCCTAGAGACGTGGAAGTTAGAGGAAATCTTCCATAGTGAAGGGAATTCCCATTTAAGACTGTTTTCTCTGGAACTAGTGTCCCTATCGGAAGTTTTCCCCTTACCTCTTTTTCTTGACACCTCTAAAACTTTGGATTTCCCCTCACTTTCTGATTTGATGACAATGGTTAAGGCAATGAATTTCCCATTGGTTACACAGACAGCAATTAAAATTTGACTAACAAGCAATCTAACCTTCCCTACTCAGAGGGGGGGGGGGGGAAATCCATGGCAGCATGCGTGTGATATAGCCCCACCTCTATATCCACCCACAGGACCTGACTGAGAGAAACCTCCTCCATACAATCAAGATCAAACAAGGGAGGGTTTGTATACTGCCATGGATAGGCGTCAGGAAAGGAAAATTGCGTAAGAATGATACAATTTTCCATTTTCTTGATTTCACCATGGCAGCATACATGTGATAAATAACTAGCTAAACAGGGATGGCTAAACTGTACAATCAAACTGCATTACAATGGACATGGAAGCCTAGACTACCAATCTGTTGAAGTCCATTGACGTTTAAGCCCCTGGATCTTCCCTGTAGCACCTGAGGCAGATGCACTGTGGTAACTAGCCTGCTGCTTTGCAAAAGTCTTCATAGACACTGCATGCGCTGCCCCGAATGTAGAGATGGACCTGGCTGAATGAATGTTGCTAGGATCAAACTCCTGCTCAGCTGAAAAGGCTGTGAACCTGTTTCAGACTTCGGAGTAAATGGCACTTGTTGGCATCCTTTCTGAAACCCTGCAGGGTTTACCATTGAAAGAGGATGGCCCTAATCCTTCAATCCTTCCCTCTCAATTTCCAATCCATCCTGGGCCAGGTATTGTGGAAACACTGGTAACTGAAGGACTTAGTCCAGACTCCAGTTCCATGGCTAGGATAAAAATCCAAATCTGCAAGGTTATCGGACATGCGTGTTATCACAGTGAGACTCTCAGACAACAGTCTCCCCTAGAACTTCATGACCAAAGGCAGTAAAGTTGCTAGGCAACTATTCCTTGGCTGAGTGAGGGTCCACTTCCTCCACCAACGGGTGAGGGTAGCATGAGAGGCACCTTGTGAAAGGATGGTCAGGATCATCTGAGGGAGGCCCCATACTTGAGTGATATGGACAAGATCTTTTCAATTAAAGACCCATTCATTGGGGACAAAAAACACCTAGCGCCACAGCCCCTTTTGGCATCCTGGGTGCCCGCAGCCTCTGAAGGTTATATTTGGTCATGGTAATGATAGTTCCACTTCCATTGGAACCTGCCGTTGAGTTTACTCAATACTAGTTGAATCCTCACTCTTCTTCATACAGACACCGAAGATAATAAAAAGCCTGTGAGGGAGGATTTATAATCAATGCCCTTTGCAGTCATATTGATGTAATGAAAGAGGACATCTGCCTCTTGAGCAGAAAATGTTACTCTGGCCTGGATGAAGAATAATTCTAGAGGGCGATATCTGAACCACCAAAAGTAACCTAGTTTTACCATAGAAGGCACCCATGGATCCTAAAAATGGGCTTTACCATCTGTGCGCCAAATCAGCCACAGTAGCCTGAGGGCAGGGGGGGGGGAGGGGGTCCTCTCCACAAAACTCCTCTAGGAGTTGAAAGGGACAAAATGGACCGTGGCTGTTCTTTCTTCAGAAAAGTGACTTTGCACACTCTTCCACCAGCTCTTGAAGTTTCTCATTCTGGGGAAATAGTCTTGAAATGTAAAGTGGGCCAAACTAGCTGAGAGAACTCACCTGAACCTTGACCTTCTATGAAGAGGAAGGCCAGACTAACCATTGACAGCTCTTGAAATAGTGCTTAGATGCCGATTGGTATACAGAGCTGCCTGTCAAACATGAACATTAGGGCTTGTTTGCATGTGCAGATAACATAGCAGCTCCTCTGAAAAGTGATCCCACGTAGTTGCTTTTCATAGGGCATTTAATAGTTTAGTATTGTCCATATCTTTGCAGTGAAGTGCAGTGCTGTAATGTGTGTTACTGCAATGCATGTTAAGTGCGTTAGCATGCGGCAGTGGCATTTTCCCTCCTGGGTAGGGTGTAATTTTGCAGCTGCTTACTAAAATTTCATACCACTATTGCCACTTCTCTTGAAACAACCTCTTCATCCTTCCATTCACCAGGGAGAATGGAAGGCTGTGCCTTGAAAATGTGAAGTATGTTCTGACTTCAAAAGACAGTCATCTAGGTCATCCCGTTCTGGGCCTGCTACCCTAATGAATGACTGGACCCAAGAGACCTTTGAACTCTGCTTAGCCTTTTCAAGGAGGATGACTGACCTTCTTCTACCACTGGTGAAGCCAGGTGCAAGGCAAAGGTGAATAGCTTGGATAAAGATGCCTCCAGAGCCAGGAATAAAGATGGCTATGATGGACTTGGGGCCTCCTTGGTAAGGAGGGCTTACTGTGGTGCCCTGTACTCCTGTGCAGGGCTGCGTCTTGAAGTTGTCCCTGGTGTCTGCTGGCATAAGTGGCTGGAGAATTCAGAGGATCATTAAAGTGTTACTAAACCCACAACAGTAAAATCAGTCTGTATATGCAGTAAAGCATGCTTGTTATACTCACTGTGGAACCTAAGGGGTTAATCCTCTGCATTGTGTAAAAAGGCTGTTTGATCCTTTCTTCTCTGCCCCTCCTCTTGTTGAAATAACCACTTGATACAGACTGAACCCGTGGTCACATGCACATGCTCAGCTTAGTGTATATTGCTAGAGAGGTTTTTTCTTTCCCTAGGGAGGGTGCATGTGACCATGTTGTGTGTACTGTGGGAGACCAGATATAGTGAATGCAGGGTCTGGGGTTTAGTATCACTTTAGCGATTTGTCCAAGAAGGATCTTGACTTCCTGGCTTCCAGCTTCCTTTGTCCTTAAAGAGGTTTCAGCAGAAATATCATCGGACATTTTAGTCTGGTATTAGGTCCACGTCGCAGGCTCAGCACTTTTTTACCCATTTGTCACTCTTAGAGCTCAGGGAAGCAGGGATGCCAACACTCACTGGGAACTTTATGTGAGACCTGCGGGGCTGGAAGAGCCACTAAACTTGTCAAGCCATGGCAACGCTATTTTAGTTTGACCTTAAGCAAAGAGCGAGAGCGGGCTAGGTTGTACCAGAAGATGAAGGCCACGCTCCTGGAAAGGCACTCTTTTTGTTCCTCTTACTTACCACACGGATGGTCCCTACCTGAGCACATGGAGGTCTTGGTTATGTGGCAGAAGGCTCAAGGCAAGGATGTCAGCACTATTGGAGCAGAGAAAGGATGTCAGATACCTGTGCTCCCCCTCATTCATCTGCAGCATAAGCAAGGGAAAACAGAAGTGTTTCCAGTGCAAACTTACCGTGACATCCGTGAGCCTGGACATGCCTAACAAAGATGATCACCACAAGAGGCCCTCTGCACAGTGTATGTGTGGATGCCATAGGCAGCCATGAGACCGGAAACATCCACAAACCCCGGACCAGATGATGTACACACCAGGGGCGGACTGAAAACTCATGGGGCCCCCGGGCAATAGGGGATCATGGAGCCCCTGTGTCCTTGCCCAAACTCAAAAAAGCCTATGAAAAAGCTACCAGGAGCATCTCATGGGGCCTCCTACTGACCCCGTGCCCTCGAGCAGTGCCCCAGTTTCCAAATGGTCAGTCCGCCCCTGGTACACATGCTGGTCACAGGTGAAAGGAAAAAACTGCTGACAAAAGAAAAACCCCCAAATCACTCTCACAAAAGAAAAATGACAAAATCTAATGAGGGCAGAGGCAAGGGAGGAAGACAAAAAGGTATCGCACTAACCTGTGGAAGAAAAGAAAAAAGCAGCACTAACTCCAGCACCATGATTTTGCTCAGGTGTGCAGAGAAACACATGCAGCATGGACTGCAGCAAACACCAGCACATGAGGTTCTGATGGCTCTGGTAAGAGAACTCCTCATCCCCAAAAGACCACCAGAAGGGGCTCCCCACCTTGTTGGTGCATTTAGCAACCTAAGATGCAGGACTACGCCTGGGAGAGGCTGCAACCAGACGGACTCCGACTCATTCGGCAGGTTGGGGCCGTATCGCAACATCACGGTCTGGCAGGTGTAAATCTTGAGGACAAAAAGGAGAATGGGGGAGGTTGCTCTCAGTCAGACTTTTATAGATATACACAGGTCCTATGGGTGGATATACGGGCAGAGCTATATCACATGTATGTTTCCATGTTGGCGTCAGGAAAAAGTTTTGCTGGCTTTGAGATACACTTTTATGTAAGTCAACCCCCTGAGAAGAATTCTAATTGCCTGAGTTCTTGTATTTGGTTCATCGTTCTGTGCCTACCTGAAAAAGCTGACCAGAATATTCGGAGAAATCCAATACCTGTTTTGGCAATTGGCACACAGGACACAACTTTTTATTCAGAGTAAAAACTGAAGCCAGAACACACAGTTTAAGAATTTATTGGGCATTTTTCACTAAGAAGAGGTAAGTGTTACTGAGTGTTCAAGTGTCCCTTTGATCGAGGTTAAAGTCCAGTGCTTAGAAGTAGTTTACCACACGTCTGATGGACTGAATGTTTGCGCTCTGAGCCTGCCACTCATTAAATGTGCGGAAGTCTCCTCTTTCTACAATGTACATGCGTCCACGATAGTTGGGTTCCTCATACAAGACCCAGCTGGAATTACATAAAAGGTATAACATTAAAACACACACATAGAAATGCTGCATAAATCTGGCCATACACATACAGGGTGGAAAGCCTGACATTTGTCTGCTAAAGGCCAGTTCCACAGCGTTAGCTATGGTCATAGCCAAAGCAAATGGATTTAGTTTTCTGGCACAATTGCCAAAGAATTATATGCTTGCAGTACAGCAGTCCTCCAGCATATTTCCATTTTCTCAGTTCCATATCTGAATAGTTATTTGTCAGCCTTGAAAGAGTTTTATCTGAGAAGGGCAAAACTGCCTTAAATGGCTGATAAGTAGCACACATATGGGCAGTTTTAAGGAATAAATGTAATATTTATGGGTATAAACAGTGTGTAGGCAAGTGCCTACAAGAGGGTTCATTGTTTTTCCTATGTTGACTCAAGTCTGCAGTCAGTCTTGTGAAATTTTTACAATAGTAGATGTGTGGTGGAGCTGAGGAGTTGATTGGCTGTATTTACGCACCAAAATTCTACAGATCCACATAAAAAAGGGGCTCTCTAGTGCCCCAGGAGGCTCTGCTGAAAACCACTGCCAAGATGGAGGCTGTTACTCTGCCGGTCGGTGCCCCATCTGGGGGGGCACATGGGGTTACCTGTGGGCCTTGGGAACCTGAGGACTCTTATGGACAATTAAACAACTCTATAGAATCTTTGCTGCCTCCTGTGGACTAGTTGCCTTTATGGACACTTGCCATCTGCCTAAGGTACTGTCACTTTATGGAGCACCAGAACACCAATGCACATGGGAGAAGCTGCTTTACAAGAACTGTTCCTATATGTTTGCCGTGCTTCAGTAAAGTTCCTGTTGACTGTTGCAGTGCAATGCATGGCAAAGCTATCCATAAGAACAAGGCTTGTTTTAAGGGGACTTAGATTAGCATAGGTCTGCTGTCTAGTGTAGGCTATATTGGTGAAACTAGGGACAACCAGGTTAATGTGTAATAAGGCAGCCTAACATACAGGGAACAGTGGCTTTGCAAGGGTGACAGTTACTCCGGTGGTGAATTGGTGGTATGCTTGGCCCCTCCACTAGCACCCAGTTCCCCTAGCTCTGGGACCAGCCCTGCAGCACAGACTACCTAGGGACCTAACCTGGGAAGTCATGGGTGAGATATATAGAGGTCTCTGGAGTAGTGCAAGCAAGTAGTCAGGTTGGTGTAATGAGTTTCCCTGTATCTAGTACGAAACCTGTTGGCATGTCACTGGGAGTGAAGTGACAGGGTATTGCTGTGTTGATGGTGACTGGGACCTGCTCTGTGGTCCATTCCCTAATGTGCACCTGGGAGTTGGTGTCTCTAACCTGTAGGGGTGGTTATAGTTTTAATTATGATGTTGGTTAGCTAGGGAAGGTAGTGGGTTAGTGGCTGCTCACTGTTTAGCTGATTAACCTCTTCTTCTCTGCAGAGAAAGGCATCAGGGAGAAATTGGGTTAATGAGTGCAAACACACACATACAGTAGGTCACAGTCCCCGCTCATATACAGGACACATTAAGCCCGGCCCACAAGTGTATATACATTAGTTGATCATTTCTCCATTGTATGTATTCAATCTGTATATTTTGCTGTTTGCTGATCTGTATCCTGGACAAATAGAGTACCTCCACTAACATGTTTTGTGGCCCATGTGATCAGCAGAGCGGTGGGTGAGTTACGATGAGAGCCTTTAAATAGGCTGGAAGAAGACAAAAAATAGCACCCAATTGAGCTGTGCAGAGTCAGATGACCAGAATAAGGCGTTCCCCAAAGGGGCATGGGCCTTGACACGTTAGTGGAGGTACGTTATTTACCCAAAGTTCAAGTCTGGTTTTCTAATTTTTAGATATGACCACCACATGGTTCCTGCAGTGTTCACTCCAGATTATTCCATCCCTTTCATATCTGTCCTGATGTGACCTTCCTAGTGAGAGTATCTTAAGGCTCCATACACACTAATTTTTTATATGCTCAAAAAACGCTGGGAAAAATGCTGGTAATAGCGTGTTTTAGTAGCTTTTAGGAGCGTTAGCATATCATTAGCATTTTTCCAGTACATGTAGAGGAATAGAAGCTGTTAGGAGCTGTTTTAGTAGCATTTAGCACTTTTTAGGCGCTTTTCAGCATTTTTTTTTTTCTGCTGGAAAACCATTTAAAAAAACTCTACAAAACAATTTTTTTTTTCTGCTCCTAGATGTGGAAGCTCAAAAAATAGCCTAAAGTAGTGTGCATGAACACATAGGATAACACTACTTAGCTTCTTCGAGCAGAAAAAAATATGCTGATAATAGCTTCTCGGAGCTTTAAAAAACACTAATGTGTATGGAGCCTAAACTGTTGGTGTGACCTGGTTTTTCTCCCTGGTGATATGTCCTGATCAAGCCACTTATAAGTGAAATTTTATTTTTCGGATTCATTAAAAGGTGTTTTGATCCGCATGATCTGGTGTGCTCTGTTTTGTGTTTCTAATTTCTTATATTTTTATGAAGTCTTTTGCTTAAAGTATACCCAACCTAAATAACAACAATCTAATTTAATATATGAATTAAATTAATGTTATCTTCAGGGTTCAATGAAAAAAATGACAATCTTTCCTTTAAGGTCCTTGTTCTGGTGCATTTTGTTTTTGGGTGACAACATTATATACCTGTTTCCCACTTGCTGTCCTGTGTTGCCCCCCGTCACTTGTTATGGTGACACACTACTGTCTCCATCAAGAATCCTACCCTTAGCAAAGCCATGGAACTGCTACTGCAAGTAGAAAAGTGGCTCAAAGTGATCAGAAGTACTAAAAAATTATGAGGAAAGGTGGAAAATGTACTTTCTATAAAAAAAACACATGGCGGTTGTATATGGCGCACAATGCCTAATTCAGGCCATAGACGGTTCGATTATCGGCTGATTTTTCGTCCGAAAAACGAAACATCGGTCGTTCTGTTGCCACCAATGATTGCGAAAATCGTCCATTTTTCACAAATTTTCCAGCATGACCGATAAAAGAAATGAGGAGGAACCGCAAAAATCAGCCGATGACATTGCCCCACTAACAGTGCGAAAATCGTCCGATTATACTTTCGGACGAAAAATCAGGCGATAAACAAACCATCTATGGTCTGCATTAGTAAACTAAGAGCTCTGGCCTAATATGCTACATGCTTGTCCTAGCTCAGTAACTCAAAGCACCAAGAGAAAGTGTCAGGCTCACAGGTTCAAGATAAAAGGGAACTAAACTGTATCTGAGCTAGAGATGCACCCATACTTTTTTTTTTTACAGCAAGTACGAGTACTTGCCGATTCCAATTACTGATACCTTCAGACAACTGTTTTGTTTACACTGCTGACAGCTGAATGAGTGATCGGTTATTAACCCCTTCCTGTCTAAGGGTAAAATAAATCTAAAGCCTAAGCACAATTTTGCAACTTATTGAGTTAGCAAAACCGTATAAATTATCACAACTACTTTGTGCATCCAGGTGCATTATATCTTGTTTTTTTTTTCAGGACAAATTGGGCTTTCATTTGGTGGTAAATAATAATGGATATCTCCTGATTTTTTTTTTTTATTACCAAAGGAAACTGTCTAAAAATAGTAAATAAAAACAAACTTTTTTTTTAAATTTAGCTGTATATTTCTTACAGCTACCATAATCTACCACCATAGAACAACTTAAATATATTCTCCTGTTCCTGATGATCGCAGCGATATCACATGTGTGTATGTTAGTTGTTGTTTGTACCCATAGTACAGCACAGAAACCATAAAAAGCAATTTGATTTTTTTTTATCCTGACACTGATGCTAATAAAAAAAAAATCCTAAACAAAAATCACCCCTGACCCTGACCTTGACCTTTGACCCTGACCCAAACACTAACCCTGGCACAGACCTAGATCAAACCTTATCTAGGTGTTTTTGTTTATTTTTTTATTTTATTTTGTAATTATTATTATTTTTTAAAATGTATTTATGTGCGGCATGCTCACAGCAGAAAGACAGGTACGTAAATTAGCAGTCCCACGGGAAAAAAAAAGAAGCCCAGTTCTGTGAAATTTGCGTACGGTCGGCATCAAGGGGTTACGGACGCGACAGCCCCGCTTGATAACCACTACGGCTCTCACACCTGTTCAACCCTTATGGACAAGGGCAATTTTTACATTTCTGCTATGGACCTGTTTATTCAGTGATAACTTTGTCATTACTTAAGATAACAACGTAATACATATATATTGTTTTTTAAGGACAAACAATGCTTTCTTTTCATGAATATTGTCTTGCATCAATTATATTTTTTTCACAATCATTAGACAATTAAATGTAACAAAACTAAAAAAAAAATACTCCCATTTTTTGAGCAGTGTTAGTTTAAAAATAAATAGTGTTACTGCACATAAAAAAGTGTGCATTTTATTCTGTAATTTGCCCTGTTTAAAAAATGACACTAAAATTATGATTCTGGTACAAAGCATTGGAAAGTTACCTACAAATTGAAATAAATGTATTTTTTTCAATGTGAAACATGTAAATAAATGTTAAACTGGTAAAAATATTAACGAACAAAACAAAAAGAAAGTTTTAATTATTATTGGTTTATAAAATGGAAATTAACAAAAAAAATCAACAGGACAATAAATGGAGAAGGAGAATAAGGAGTTAATTAGGATTGATTAGAGTAAATTAAGGATTAATGAGGAGTTAAACAGAGGAACATTTATGCGCTTGGGAGTCCTGGGCCACAGCACAGTATTCTCAAGGAACAGCACAGGTATGCCATTCCTTCAGAGCACATGCACGGGCTCTCAAACAAAGCAAATATCTCCTAAACGGTGCATGTTTAGGAGATATTCATTTTACCTTTCTACAGGAAAGCTTTATTATAAGCTAAAGTTAACATAAAGAGTTTACTACCACTTTAAGAACTTCTTTACAACCAACACCACAAACTGAAAATGCAATTTAATTATTTTTAATACTTAAAGCAAATTCACTCATCTACCCAAGTTTCCATGCTTCATTTTGCTGAGAAATCACTTTGAAAAATACCCTCCTAGCATTTCTAGCCACAGCCATCTTGAATAAGGGCAGATGATTCATGGAGCATTTACTTTCTGGAATACATCTTCCCTTAGCTCAGGCATACAGGTAGGAAGGTTTGCTTAGTTGAGTAAGCCCCTCCTCCATATGAAACAATCATGCCCATGAAGACTCCTATGATGCATGACATAATTTGGCTTAAGCCAGAAACCAGAAAGCAACTGAGGAAATGTAACAGAAAACTATAAAATGAGCAAATATAGTATACCATTCTATCTAATTGCTAATGTTAGCACCATAGGTAGTAAAAAAATAGTTGATTGAGAGAGTTATTTCAGCTTTAATGCAAATTATGCTATTAATATATGCTAATGAGTCAGGCCACCTAAAAGTGAAATTCAGTTATGGGTGCAACCTTGTGCTGGACTCATTCATTGAGTTCTTATAACCCTTGGGGACTCCATACCTTCCTGGAATAGCTCCTGACTGTTCCTTTGTTGAATTAATTATTCAACACAATGAATACTTGTGGTCCATGGTGTAGCAATCGTGCACACAGGGATGGACGCGGTCATCCATTTTGTTCCAAACCCTCCATCTTGTATCTCTCTCTCCCTCTTCCCTCATCCCCCCCTCCCTCTCTGTTGAGTGACGCGTAGTCCCTGGATGCTGAGTTCAAAAAGGAATCAAGGCCCAGCGGGGGAGCTCCTGGCTATAAACCCCAATGTCTGTGAGACTCTGCTTGGAAAAGGATCGTAAAACCATAAACCAGTCCCTCTCTGAGCTTCAAAGACATTCCAGATAAACCGTGAACCAGACATCACATTCAACATCCACTTTCCCCTATGATTACATATCTTGGAATATGAAAGACTTACATAAAAACCAGGCATATATTCAGATCGGTCACTTTAATACAAATCGTCTGATATAGTACACACCCTAGCTGACAGCTACAGGAGAGCAGAAAATGATATATCCTTAACCGTCCCAGCAGGTATGTCATATTTCATATCTAGATGTTCAGCAGATGATTCTGCGTATTAATCTACCCGTACATGTACCTGGGAAACGTTATTGACCATAGTATAATTTGGGAGGGATTTGGTCATAGCCTGAGCTCCCCGCCTACAACACCCCTCCCCAAATGAGGCGATTGGTTCTCTGCTTTAAGCAGACACCATGCTGAGTTCCTAGAAAAAGGGCTGTTATGCTTGAAGCAAGCTAAGCTGAGATGAGCTAAGTTGAAGAAATCTCCCTTTTAACATCAGGAACCAACTTTGGGAGATAAGGCACCCTTCTGCTCTTAAACTTGATCTGCTTAAACCAGGATGTTTGGCAAGTACTTTACCTCCCTAAATTTCTTTCTTTTATCTCTTTGCTGTGTTATTGCTCTCTGAGAGAGCTGAGATGAGCTAAGCTAAGCTGAGATGAGCTAAATTGAAGAAACATCTAAGCTAAGCTGAGATGAGCTAAGTTGAAGAAATCTCCCTTTTAACATCAGGAACCAACTTTGGGAGATAAGGCACCCTTCTGCTCTTAAACTTGATCTGCTTAAACCAGGATGTTTGGCAAGTACTTTACCTCCCTAAATTTCTTTCTTTTATCTCTTTGATGTGTTATTGCTCTCTGTATATATATATATATATATATATATATATATATATATTGGCTACATCTTTTTCTGTAAATATTTTTATTGCACCCTTTTGACCTTTTAGTAATAAATCTTACTTTCTGAAAGTGTTAAACTGTTTCTAAAGCTCTTTAATGCAAACTAAAAACCCCTGTCTCTGAAGAGCAATACTGTGTGTTTTAAACATCTGCATACATCTGTCAGCGGTGACATTGTGTATCCAAACAATTATTCAAACATTATAGTGTTATTTCTGATATTGCAGAGTTTCCTCTTTCTCTGTACAAAAAGGAGGTGGTGGCAGTGTGAAGGGTTAATTGCGTAATTAACCTGACCCAGTAACAATCGCTCCCATGCTGCCGGTACACAGATTGTGGTCCATTAGCTGGAAAATCTTTGTGCAGGGTGCAGCTGGGTGTGGCATTCTTATGCACGTAACAGCGCTGTTTTAGATTGGCTAGTCCTTCGGTCACGAGTTTGGTCAGAAGGGCTGGGGTCTGACGCCGCGATCGCCACACATGGTAACCAGGAGCCCGTGGCACATATCAGTGCTGAGCATCAGGGGGTCATTTTGACACTTGTGTCCAGAGTGCCTTAAAAATCTTACTAGTGACAAAAAGGCATTATCTGTTTATGGGATTGTTAAACAGGAAATCAATTGTATGTAAAGCCCTGTGCACACAATGAGAATATCGAACGAATTATCGTCCAAGCTATTCTTCATATCAAAAATGAAGAGGTTACTAAAGTTATGAAAATTCTCACATGACAGAATAAAAAATTGGAAGTGATGTAATGTATTGTATTTTCAGATGAAAACTGTACTGTTTAAAGAAAATCGTACAATCTGATATTGTACAAGAAAAATGTTCGTGCTTGTCCCTTCTAATCATTTCGGATGAAAGCCATGTACCAATGATCAGACTATCATACAATCGCTTTGAAAGTGGTATTTTTGTATGATTTTTCTGATCGGGTATACTAGGCTTAAGAAAAAGCCTCCACTTACAACACTATTATAGCGTCACATACTTTTAGTTCTGATAAGCTTCTTATTTATATAAAAAAATAAATTATAATAATGTTTCTAATAATTGGTATCTTCTCAAAGCTAAGTGTATGCTGGGCTACACTGCAACAACACCAATATGTCAATTTATACCAGTACAGTAGCAGTAGGAACACTTTGTTTAGGTTAACCAAGCAACATGAAATGGTTTTAATGGCAAAAGCAGGTTTGGCTCCTTCTCACTTTCCTGCATTGCAATGGTCTAAGGGTAACTAAGGCTTTCTGTAGAAATAACATAGCTGGATTAAGAAAATGTGAATTTAAAAGTGATTTAAAGGCTAGCCCCCATAGCAAGCCACTTGCTATGGGGGCGCTCATGTGTGCTCACTCCCAAGCTGGACTCTGTGGGGGATATTTACTAATACTAGTGCGTTCAGAATCTGGTGCAGCTGTGCATTGTAATCAATCAGCTTCTAACTTCAGGTTGTTCAATTAGGCTTTGACAATAAAACTTGGAAGCTGGTTTGTTTATATGCAGAGCTGTACCAGATTTTGCACCATACAGTTATAGTAAATTACCCTCTGTGTGTGTTCATTGACAAACAGAGCGTGACTTGGCTCCAACCCCGCTCTCTTCTGAATGGCTGTGTTTGGCTGTGTTTGACAGCAGCAAGAGCCAATGGCATCTGCTGATGATTCTGAGCCAATGAGGAAATGCACGATACTCATTTCATCTGAATTCCAGTATTATTTGGTACTGAATTCTGCAAACATCTCTCTTATAGAAAAGAGAGCGGCTAGAAGGTATAAAAAGTTACCAAAATTATTCTAAGTTTGTGAAGTTTTTCTTATGTGCACCTCAGTCCCCTTAGTATGTAATACTTACGCTCCATCACCATAGACTTTGATGGCGTTCACACAGTTTTTGTTCCAGCCCCGTCCTTGAAGGAAAGGACAGTCTTCACAGAACTCCATGCACTGACCAGTGAAATTACATCCCTCGAACAGCTCCAATCTGTAGTGTTCTCCATGCTGGAAGAAAAACAGCAAAATGTACTAGAGTTGGCATCACCATCTACCACAACTGCTGAAAGACATATGGCTGATAGGCAATGTGTTATACACACAACTGACATTTGCATATTTCAAATAAAAATACGACAATGACAAAAAGTCAAATGCTGTATTTTTGTTTACTATGAACTTATATTTATAGTTTGGTAGCAGAAAGGATGCTATGTACATAATTACCAGATTCACAAAGGGTATATTTGTTAAGGTAGTGCAAAGAATATGTGATAAGTCATGGCAACCTTGGATTTTGAAAATAATAAAAAAAAAACTGTATGTGCTGACTTTTAAGAAACAGCCCTCACCTGTCCCATGATCCAGCAGTGTACCCACTGCAGCCATTTCACCAGCCGTCCTCCCTCCCAGGCGCTGGCATCTTAAGTGTGGGAACCCGGCTGTGACAGTTTGTGGCTTCACAGCCGGGTGCCCACTGTGTATGAAGGAGTAGCGGTGCGCCTTGTAGATGGTCCCGTAGTCTTCTGGGATCTGTGGAGTGTCCCAGAAGACTACGGGGTGGGTTGGGGGGGACAACTTCCGTGTGATTGCAGCAAAGATGTCAATACCTCACAGGGAGCAGGGGACCCATATTTAAACTGTAACTATCCCTTTTGGGTGGAGCTGCGCTTTAAGGAAGCTTAAAAATTTGAAGCAGAATTAAACCCACTAATTTAATGGTTTCCCAAAACAGTTACTATCAAGGAATGTCTTGGATGATAAAAGTTACAGCTGCTAGTGTGCTTATGTCAGCTCTCAGCCATCAAATTGCTGATGTCATAGCTGATCACATGTGCAGCACCATGTAAACTGAAGATTAATCAGAAGCTAAGATGGCAACTTTATTGGCTGTAAAGGATAGGAGGGTTTAGTTCCACTTTGAGGACTCCATGAATTTACTGGCACTGAAAGACACAGGACTGGAATAGTTGCTGCTAAGAAGAGCAAGACTGGCATATGTGGAGTACTGACTGGTAGGTTGTACCAGGAGAAATAGGTGATGTTTGGAGTTGTCATGCACACTGTGCACAGTGGTAAGCACAAAAGAAACACTCAGAATGTTTTTTTTGTCCAGGAGCCCTGCCTATGTCCACCACTGACCAGGAGAATGAGTGTGCCATAAGAAGTGCTAGTTTAGTCTACAAGAAAGGGAGCAGCCCTCCTAGACATCATCTAGTTAAGTATTAGCAAGAAATACATGTATCAGTTATAGTAAGGCAAACAATAAAACACACCATTCTGACAGGTCTGCTGGATCCCATGTGGTCATTGTGTCCGTTCCAGCGATGGAAGTCTGGGTACTCTCCTCGCTCTAGAATGTACTGCTGTCCTTTAAAGTCAGGGTGATCATAACAGATCCATGCTCCACTTTCTACTCGGATGGAATTGACACGGTTCATGAACCCCCGATCCTGAAAGTTGTCACAGTCCCCAAAGACTTCCAGTTTTCTTCCTGTGAAGCATTTTCCTTCATAGAAGATGATCTAAAAACAAGACAGAATACATAATTTGGTCACATCCAGACAACTATACATAGTTTACTCTATTCCCATATAAATAGTGGCAAAACATGTTTTTGAAAATTGTGTTAATCTTGTTGCCCAAAAAGAAGTAGGAGCTTTTTTTTGGACAACAAACACTCATAGGACCATTGAAGTGAGTGCTCTGTGTGCAACACGTGAAATCTCGTGAAAATCAAACAACAAAAATCGCAAGCGGGAATGCTTGGTCCAGGTACAGGATATGTGAAGGAGATTGTAACTTTATTGCAAATCACACAGTGCAATACTACACAGACCTCAGGATTTACAAGACTGTGACATATAGGGCATAGATTTTAGTCTACGGAGAAAGTACTGAGCTGACCCAGAATGATACCAAAACAATGGCAATGGTCTTCTGGGGAAAAAGGTAGATAAAGGTGTTTTCGGGGTAATACATTGGTCTTCATGAGAAGTAGCAAATACCAGCAAGTGTTAAACATTCATCTTGATAGCAGAAAAAACTATATCTTATGCCTGGTTTAATGTTAAACTTTCTTCAAAAGCCAGCATGTAAACATAAATAATGTACTTTTTGCAGGTGAATGTCCTATACCTGCTTATAAAGGTAGTTGTGGCAATTATAGAACAGATACTATAAAAACAGTCTTCACTAAAGGAAAATTAAAATCCACTTTGTGTGTCCTATGATGGATGGGAGAGGGGGCAACATGCAACTCATACTGTCTTTATATAGAAAATGAATCCGTCATCAATAGATGAATTTAAACATGATTTGGAAAAAAATATAGATTTATACTCAGACAAACAAATTTAGGAAAACACTACATGGCCTGTAATTGTCAGTCTCAATTGATGTAGTGACTGGCCTATTTTCACAGAATCTAGGTACATATATACAGTATATATTTGTATATGTATGGTATAGTCATGTAGAGTGTCAGCACAGGACATGATATTTATATTCAGATTCAGGACTGGCAGCTCGGCCACTCAAAAAAAAAATCAGCAATTGGTTGCCAGTTGGATCTAAGAAAAGTGCTGACTGAATTGTGTTTACAACACATGAAATTCACAATGATAACATGCCATGGACTTAACATTGTATGTTATAGGTATTATACACAGCCATTAAATACATGTCATTGATGGTTAGTCATGTAGCCTTTTCCCAGATTCTCAACGTCCTCCAGTCGGTGCAGAAAGACAGTTGAAAGACTGGTACATACAAACTAATTAGAGGCTTGTGCTTGCATAGCTATAGTGTACTGTCAGTCTGTTCCATTCTCTGAAGTCCACTCAAAGGAAAATTATATAGTATTTACCTTAGTTTTTTAAATTTTTATGTGGCTTTCATATTTAACAAACCCAGTTTAACAATTGTAGAGGCAAGGTATCAGCCACACAGTGAATGCATTGTTTTCAATGAGTTGGCTGACTGTTAAACCTGTTACACATTACTAGTTTTTTTTTTTTGTTCAACTCAGCGGGCTGAATGAAAAAAAAACCTGACAGCTCAGGAGGAGCCGCTGCACTAACTATCAGATGTTAGCACAGAAATCTCCCCTGCTGTGCTATTATGTTCTGACAGAGGGGACAGCCCCACCGCTCAGTGCTGGGACAAGGTCATCCAACACCCAGGGCAAAGAAGCCAAACTGCCCACCCTCTTTCTTATGTACAAGCTTAGGGGATGCTGCCACCAGCAGTCACCCACTTGTCATAAATGCCTTGTATCACAATGGGCTCACTGGTGCCCCATCCATACATTAAATTGCTGCACCCAGGGCAGCAGCCCCTTCAGTCCACCCCTTGTCCCGGCCCTGCCCCCACCAGAATACTCCAGGAGCCATTCTGCAGACCTTTTTCAGTCATGCCCCTTCAACAGAAGCCGGTTGAACGGTCAGCTTCTATCAGACCAGTTCCCGTACACACTGGACAAATGTTGGCTGGTTTCTATTGAACTGGCCAATGCCGCCCGACATTCAGCCTGTGTGTACTAGGCTTTAGAATTATGCTGAGAAAAAGAGCAGTAAACCACAACAATAAAACCAGTAAGCAAACAGTAAGCAGAGCCTATGTAAATAATAAACAATGATGGCAGCTTAGATGTACATATTACACATTATACATAGAAAACAAATGTAAAGCATTAAATATGTATTAAATATGTCCATGTGTAAAGAACATTCCATTTGAAAAATTTCCCTGAAAATAAAGTCATGATATATCATTCAGAATAGAAAAAAAACAAACATTTATGGCCACCACAGGGCATTTGGTTTTAAGGGTTACTATACATGTTGCAATCTAAAATGTGGATCTACCTAAGCTATCCAATTACTTTGTATCCAGGCTCTTGAACTAGATAGATGTTGGTAGATCTAAAGGAGATTTTACAATTAGATTTTTTAGTGTATGGCCAGCCTAAAGCAGTACTCAATTTCCCTTCCATATGGTTTAATTTTCCCTCTTACTTGTAGTGCTGCATTCCCTCCAAACCACATACTCACCTGCACAGTGAATCCAATGTTGTTCACCTGTGATCTGCTGACCAGGTGACATACACTGGGTCCTATGCCACCATCTTGGTCCACTTCAGCTGACTGTCTCTTTCTGGTGCAGCAAGCCAGTTACTAATGATGTACCAGGTCCACCTCCTGGCCTCTCTGTGTTTCCGATCCTGCAGCCTTCTGGGTGATGTGATGTAAGTTCCCTTGGAGGCTGCAGGACCAGGGACACCTCATCCTGGGGGCAAAAACTAAAACTAAAAAAATAGAAAATCACACACAAAAAAATGGAATTTACTTGAGGTGGGGTGTTTAAACAGAACTAACTCCCCTTTGACTCAATTCCCCCATTAACTCAATTCTTTTAAGTTCCACTTTAAAGAATTGAGTTAATCTCAGAGCAATGTATAATTAGTATTTTAACAAACATACTGAAATTTTAACAAAAAGAGAATCTTGGAACAAAGATGTGCTTTATGAAAAGTATTTGCAGATGCTCCTGTCCATAAACCAGTCTAATGTCTCCACTGGATTTACAGAAAATTTAAAATGAGATGATATCACTTGTAACGTTTCACACCAGAATCTACAGAACCAATATGGCCCTACTTAAAATCCCATTTGCACTTCAGTTCTGGGTACGATGGATGTGTATTATTACTCATTTCTGTCTACATTTATTGCCTGTAAATTTGTTCTGGAAAAGAAAAGCTTTTACTGAGTGAGTTTGGGGAAAATATTGCAACATTTGGGCACACATCATCTCTGTAAAACGCCCAGTCATTATTAGTCATTATTTTTTAGGAATTTGCACTTTTTTCTATTTCATCATCACCGATTAGCAAAGAATCAAAAATCTATTTATGTATTTTAAGGGGATCTCACATATGAAGCAACATCACGTTTCTGCATATTGAAGCAATTAGGAAACAGTTTTAATTTTTACTTTCATGCCAGCGCTATAAAACAGTAGTTTGGGTTTCTTTAATTCAGATCTCTGGCCCTATTTTAAAAAATGTCAGGAGTTTTTGATAGTTCTGTATGCTTGATACTGATAATATCAGGGCCATCTTTAACATTAATTGGACCCTGGGCAAACATTTTCTTGCCCCCCTCAGTCCCCCACTCTGAGACAATACAATAAAGATCAGCTAGACTCAAAATCAGTTTACTGCAGCAGATCAGGCAGTGATTGCAATTGGTTGCCAGAGGTTACAGCATATCATTACAGCTTACTGACTGGTTGCTAGAGGTTGCAGCACACATTACTGCTCACTGATTAGTTGCTAGAGGCTACAGCACATCATTTCTGCTTGCTGATTGGTCGTTAGGGGTTAATGCACATCATTACTACTTACTTATTGGTTGCTAGAGGTTACTGCACATCATTATTGCTCACTGATTGATTGCTAGAAATTACAGCAATTCATTACTGTTTGGTTTCTAGAAGTTACTGCACATCATTACCACTCACTGATTGGTTGCTATAGGTTACCATGCATGATTACCACTTACTTATTGGTTGCGAGAGGCTACAGCACATCATTACGACTCACTGGTTGCTGAAGGTTACAGCTCATCGTCTCCTCACTGCCTATACACCACAGACTAGAAAGGTGTGGGGACCCACTAATAGACAGAAAAATCCTAGAACATGTTATTAGCAATGAGAAGAGCAGAGCACACACAGTTATGAAGGTTAACTGAGTGCAGGTAGGAACAGAGTCCAATGTGAGCAGCATCCCTGAGGATAGGATGCCAGGGTACATAAAGAGTGCAGAGTTGAGGGGTGCCCTATGTACGGATTTAAGGGTTGAGAGGTGTGTTGTGTACAGAATGTTGGTTGAGGGGAGCACTGTGTATGGAGTGCAGGGTTGAGGGGTGCGCTGTGTACAGAATGCAGGTTGAAAGATGCGCTGTGTACAGAGTGCAGGTTTGAGGAGTGTGCTGTGTACAGAGTGCAGGGTCGAAGGGTGGGCCGTGTACGAAATGCAGGGTTGAGGGGTGCGCCGTGTACGAAGTGCAGGGTCGAGGGGTGCGCCGTGTACAGAGTGCAGGGTCGAGGGGTGCACCGTGTATGGAGTGCAGGGGTGCGCCATGTACAGGGTGCAGGGGTGAGGGATTCATTGTGTACATCCAAGTTCTGCCACCCCCCCCACCCCAGGTATAAAGCACTCTTCCCCACAGATTCAAGTTCAGAGCTCAGCCTTCCCCGCCACCTTCCTCTTCCATCACCTAGAAAACCTCAGAGAGTGAGACTGCAGAAGAGCAGCTAGAACGTACAGCATGTTTGTGCAGGCTGCTGGTTTCAGGAGGAGCTTCTGCCTGTGTAGATCCCCCAACCCCTCCCTCCTCTGCTCTCATAGAGATCGATGTATGAAGCAGGGAGG